ATGGTGTATTGCTTTGAATGGCAATTGTAGTACTGAGTGTTTTCTGTTCGTGAAAATTTTGAGAAGCCAAGATACAGCAGTATCCTGTGTGATTTATCCCTTGTGGCTTCTCTCCTTTGGGCCTGGCTGAATAGGTCTATCTGAACTGAAGTCCTTGACTTATTCACAAAGTAGGGAGCTCTCACACTGAATTATTCTCTCTGGCCTGTAATGCTTGCTTGTGGTGTGGCAGTCTGTACTACAAAAAACCCCACAACTGTGGTTATCTTATGTGAAAATGACCATTTGCTTTTGTAATAAATATTCTGCATGTGTAAAATTATACATACGTATATATTATTTTGATTGCTGTACATTAAAATTGAACATTTTTTTTCACAAATTAAATGTGCAGCTACATGCTCTTTACTTCTGAAAGCACAAACATTGGCTTTACTGCAAATCAATACAATCTCACTTCACAAACCTTTTAAAAGTTTGTGTCGTGTACTATTGTTCTTGTATAATTATTTTGCTGTGGATAGATTAATCTCCTGATTTTGAAAATTTATGACACCATGTGGCTTTAGATTTTTTTCAGCTTCATGCATATGTTTAGTACACTGATCTAGATGGAATTGCTGGAAATTGAATTAAAATGTGAATATATGGAAAAAACCAAACTGATTTATAAAAGGCCAACAATTACATTACATAATGACTCAGCTGAGCAACAGAAATTAATGTGATATATCTGCTAAGAAGTGAATCTGCTTTCATGACTGGAGACTGATAGCTCAGCAGGAGGAGGAAGCACATGGGAACTGCTCTCTCACAGCAGGCAGCAGCAGCTGGTACACAGCAGCCAAGGAGATTGCAGAGGGGTTTCCCACCACAATGTGCAGAACAGAACCATGACCACCTAATCTGCAAAAAACCTCCTAAGCATGGACTCACAGGGAGATCTCAGACCTAAAAAAACCACTACCCTTATTTGGAAAGGCTTTTCTCTGTAAAAATCTTAAGCATATCACAGAGTTCACAGTCCTGCCCTGCTCTGAAAAAGAGCCAAATCCCTCTTTCATTCTCAAATAAGATGTTTGTCCATTTGTCAGCAGCATGCTTGGTCAGAGATTTGGGTACTTCTATATACCCATTTTTATACTTCTATATAAACTAACTGTTTAAAAAATGCAGCATAGGAAAGTAAATTAAATTCAAGCTTTTACACTATTAATTCACTGACTTCAAGGACAACAGCTACAGATCATCTTGTGCTATCTTTGCATAAAAGCTTCTTGATGCTTTTATTAAACATTGAAAAGAATTAAAAAATACAAGATAAATAATGTACTGATGGCTAGAAAAAGAAAGAACTTTGCCACTTACTAATAAATTTTACTTGATGTGTAATTTGTATCCCAGATGAGGTTTATGTTAGGATACATCTTTCTCTCTGATCCAATTATAATTGATGTTTACATCAGCAGGAGACATATCCTCAATATGGATGTTCTATTTCCTTCCACAAACCCCTCTTTATCCATACAACACATCAGAATTTCTTTTTACACACAAATATTAATACTGATTCTACCAGAACTTACTTTCTTCATGATACAACAAAGACTATTTGGAGGGGCTAAGGAACTTCATTTTACTCAGTGTAGTAAATATCAACTGCAAGGTGAGCTGATAAGTACTGACACTATTGTAAATAAAAGGGAGAAAACTTAGTGAACCTTGCAGCATATTAAAGGAAATTTTTAGAATGCAAAATTAGACCTTGCTACCTGCAAAGAAGACTCAGGGTTGATGAATGCATATAAGTTTTACAGCTATGGGTGTAGGTTAGTTGGTTGTGGGCTTTCAAGTCTTTTAGCTGATAAACATTCTTCAACAATCCTATTATAAGTAGAAGTGGAGAAATTAAAAGTATATTGCTGAAACCCATCTTATTTAAAATCTACAGAGCAGAAAGAAAAGGTTTAGTCTCAAACACATTTACTTATACATTTGACACTATGTCTTACTTTATCTATTGGATTTTCTTTGTGGAGGATAAAACCAAAGAATACATTTGGAAACCATTTTTGATTTATCATCTAGGAACCGTCCTAGATCAGACATTCTCTTAACAAGACACTGCACAAAAGATACTAGCACTATACCACTTTACTTCCTTCTACTACCAAAAAAAAAAAAATTTAAAGGTGTTATGCTTTGGGAATACAAAATCCTTAATTATAAATCATCAAGTCAACCAATGAAAACATTTGTTTTATATGTGTAGTCTCTATCTGCAAACTGATTAGTTGTTGCTAGTTAAAAAAAACCAAACCTAAACTAATATTTCAAGTTTTTTTTTCTGCACATAATACTAAATCAAATGAGTTCTGAGCATTGAACAACCCAAAGACAAACAGTTAAATGAAGGTCATATAATATTGAAGGAAATAATTCAACAAGATGTTAAAGAAAATCATTTACTCCCAAACATAAGATTGGAGTTGCTAGCTAGCTAACTACTGGAGATGTTTCTTTAGTAAGCACATTTTTATAAGCAGCAGTCTGAAATACAATTTATTTCATTGTATTTGGTCACAACTCACCTTTTCCTCTCATGATTCTATTAGGAAAATTGCCTATTGGAATAGTCACAGAAGTTAAAGGAAAGCAAAATTTTCTATGGTCTGTTATTATCTAAATAGAACTTGTTTTAGAGCATTATTTCATCTTGCAGACAGAAACGTAATGTCCAATGATAGGTAGAAGTCAGTAAAGCCCAACCTGGAAATAAAAGGTAATTTTTGATGGTGAGGACAATTAGCTATCGCAACAATTTTTCAAGCGATAGAGTAATCTTTTTCATCACTTGGAATCTCTAAATCAAAATGGGTGGGTTTCCAAAAGACAATCTGCTATGCCTCTGTGGGTTACTGTGTGCTATGGGAAGAATGAAATCTCTGATCTTTTCTGTGCAAGTCAGATAGTATTATCACAATGGCACCTTCAAAATATATTACTGTATTCATTTAGTCTTCTAAAATTCAAACTAATGTTAACAGGTCTTTTTAAATTTTTTTTTCCATATTCTGATCTAAAAATGACTGTCATGTTTGTGACATTGATAGAAGCAGCATTCAAACACCATCATTTTCTTTGTTACAATCACTCAAATGCCAAATGGGGAGTGGCTTCTGCCTTCTGCCTTGTTGTTGTATCAGCCACAGGTAATTTGTAAATAACAGTGACTGGGTACGCCAAAGTTTGTCCTTGTAACAAAACGGAGACAGCTGAAGAAAGGAGGCGGGGGAAATTCTGCGCAGTCAATGCCAGTTTGGGGATCTATCGGTATCAAATTATCATTTCCATTTTGTCTTGTGATTGTAACTTTCATTGTGAATTAGAGCATTCATTCTGCAGCAGCGTCTTGACACACAGTGAGGGAATCAAGATAGAGTGTGACAGAGCAATCAGCAGCTGGGCTGAACCAGTGCTGAGGGGCTGCTCTGTACTGGAGCAATGACATCCAGGCTGTTAGAACCATTGACTGTGAATAGCTGCAGAGGCAATGCAGGGACAAGGATGGCAAAGGTCTGGAGCTGAAACCTGGACCTTTCCTGCTCGCTTTCATCTTCTAGCAGGCAATCCAGATGGGAAAAGAGAAAAAACAATCTTCCCTGAGCAAGGCAGGCCATCTAGCAGCAGAGGTAATAAGACCAGGCAAAGCACCACAGGGGATCTGCTTGATCTAAGTCAGATGTAGATCAATCTTAGGAATCCCAGGTGTAGCAATATCTACTCTAGACCGCAAATCAAGAAAATAATGTTCTTCATACAATCAATGTTACTGCAAATATCCCCATTAAAGAAGATAAGAAGAGATGTTGAGGAAAGGTTACATTTTCTGTCAATCCTGTCATTAATTTTGCTGCTTCAGTGACGGCAGTGAGGGGTTTTTGTCCCCTTTAATTGTGGCAAGAAGCAACTCATTTAGCTATATTCATCAGAACACATTACTGCTCACGGCTGGAGGGAAGGAAAGTTTCAAAACTAAAAAATGGCCAACTGCTGTGTAACATTATGTCTTTTGTCTGTTGGTGTAAGTGGAAAATCCCATCCTAATTATGAGTGGAGCTTTAAATAGTCAAATAAACATGTACTTAAAGTAGCTTACATGCATGTTTCTGTTCTGTTCATTTTTTCTAAAAAAAACCACCATCACATATGTAAGATAGTTATTCTAAAGAAGCACTTAGAATATTGCATCATCAGGGCTATTTTTATTTTGAGCCAAATCACCTATGCCATTTTTTATTACCTTTGTCAATTACATTTATTGATTGGGAATTTAGCATGTGATATACAGCAAAATGTTTGAAATAATAATTTTTTAATACTGAATACATAAACACATGGTGACTGCTGAAAACCATATATAAATGAAATGTAAAATAACTTATTAGTTAGAAAACATACCCCATAAGCTCCTTTGCTACCAAAGTTGCTGTCTATAGGTTTGTTTGAAATTAATTTTCTAGTAACTGTGATTTGCAATTGTATAGTATTAAGAATTACAGATGAGTTTCTCTAGTTTCAGCTAAAGATATTGCAATAACGACATCAAAGTCCATGAAAATCTCTTCATCTAAGGTGTATTAGAAAAAAATAATTATAAAGGAATGGGCAGGTAGATGGTGTGAAAAATGAACACCTAATCACCTGCGTGACCTGGGTTGTGAAGCACAGCAGTCTTCCTTGTTTTATTTAGTCAGACTACATTTCAATGGTTACAAAATCACCACTGTCCAACTTTTTCCTTCTGCACTAAATTTCTCCTGATGCATCACCACTGAAACCAATATTTTGCCTGTGATATACAGGAAATCATTGCCACTGAAAACTGTGTTTTTACATTTTAAAACCTGATTTACAAACTTTTATGTATTTCTCAAGTTTCCTAGCAATATTTCCACTGAGATCTGAATATAAACTAGTGGCTTTTTTTCTGGCTACAGAGCAAGAAGCAAAGGAAACTCTCCTCCTTGGATCAACAGTCCCTGGTGAGGAATCCATCCATTCAACTGGCTTGATCAATGAGCCATTACAGAGGTAACTATTTCCTTTTTTAAAAATGACAAATTCTTCAACTCTGCAAAACCACTGTACAATTATACCCAAGAATACAAATGTGCAGAAGTACGTGAGAAGAAAATAAAGGCCATTTTAGTATCACAGTCTTCTAGCCCAGTCAGTGGCTGCTTGCATTTTTTCTACTTTTAAAAGTAAGAAGATGAAAGTGGAAAGTTGATGGTGTTTGCTGGTTTGTTCAGAAAATTAATTCTCTTTCATATAGAGAGAGCACAAAAGCCCTTTTGTATAAATGAATGGACTAAATTATTTCTGAACAATTCCTGAATTATTGCACATCTGATAAGTTCAGTATAAGGAAGAGGCACAATTTGAATTTTTGGGTATCAGGTCTGCAGTTCAACCTCACACATTATAAAATACTTTTTCCTGTCATTATTCCTTCTCTTTACCATATTCCTATGTAAGCATGGCAGTGGCATCAAACTCTGATGTATCTGATGTGGAAACAAAAAATCTCACTGTTTTATTGATCAGAGGCTGTATCCTGACTGGGTCAGGCTTTTTCTGTGTGCAGTAGGTTTGTACCAAAAAACATCATGCATCATTGCTCATGAACTTGTGCGCTGCTCTCCCTGGAGCCCAATGCGTTTGCCTGCTGAGAACAGGATCATCTCCCTCTCAGATTTCTGAAAGAACTGCACATGAAATTAAAAGGGTGACATTTTTAGAAGAAAACTAACAAGTGTGATGCTATTTAATTATGAAACGAGGAAGGGAAGACTTTATGACAGAAAGCTAAAAATTTAGATATAAAGTGTAAGAAGGTTGAAATGCAGTGTGGATTTACCAAAACTATAACCTAACAAGATGAAAAGGTAACATATCTCATAGATAAAGGAAATGCACTAGACTTCATTTTCATTAAAACCTAGATAATTCAGTTAATTCTACATTGCAAGATATTTTCAAACAAAGATTATCAAAGAAATGGAAAGCCGTGTCTTTTGAGAGCAGTCTTTCAAGCATGGCTTTTGAAGTTGAAAGAAAATACGGTTACTGCCTACAAAAAAATCATGGTATACATGCCAGTGATAGAAAAGGGCCATTTAAAGATATGATACATTTAAAGAAAATTCACTGACACCAAAATCCATTTAAAGAAGAAAAGAAACTTTCCAGCTGTCAGAGCTTCTGGGTCTATCTTCCAATGGAAGAACATGGGAGAGTCAGCTTCTGGGATGGGCTTTGCATTTCCGAAAGAGCTAAATAACGCAGTCCCTGGAGAAGCAAAGGGCTCCACTCAGTGGCTTAGGGTCTTGCTGGTTTTACTCTCTGAAGAAAGAGAAAGAGAAAGAGAGAAAGAGAAATTGTGTGAAAGATGTGAGCCTCACTTTTATATGTCTCTTACTTATTTTCATTGTAATTGTAAATATTCCTTCACATGCACATACTTAAGAAACTTTTCTAGATACTTCTAATTAGAATTCAAGGCTTTTCCTTCAATCAATTATCTCCCCCCAAAAAACACCCAGTGTAGGTATCTGAAGGAATTCTTTCTTTTAACTGAAATCTCTCCTGTAGCACCTACATTTACGTGAGTAGGAAGTAGAGCTTCAGTCAGCCGAAGTTGTGGAGAATGCAAGATTTACCACGATGATCTTTTTCAGTCATTGGGGCTGTCGTGGCTTTATTGTTAGTGATGAAAATTCTCATTTCATGGGCTTTTTTCATATTCCAGGAATGAACAAATGCTAATTAATGCTGGTGAGCTAATCCACCAGCCAACAGATTTTGTAGGACAGTAAATATGACCTTGTTGTGTTTCTTGGCCTTTAGCTTTAGCTGACTTCTTACTCTATAAAGGTACAAAACTTTGACCAAATTTAACCAGTAGGTCATTGTTGAAGGTGCCATTGTTTTGTGCTAGAGCATATGTAAAATGTCTGCCTTCTGACAGTATGCTTCCTGAACTGTTGAATGACACCACTGAGGGAGATGTGGAGGTTGCAGTACCAGCAGCTGATAGCATGTGAGGGTAGTAAAAGATATTCCTCACCATGACATCCCTTTCCTGGTATAATTGGCAGTGAATCGGTGCAATAATTAAAGAATATTAACAATTTCAGATGGAAGGATTTTTTTATGGAAGTTTATTTTTTGTGGTTTTGGAACTGTGACATTATGATACGTGCAAGTTATGCCGTGGGCCTCACATGACACACATATTTTTATTAGATGGATTATACTTTTGCCTTAAGCCTTGTCCCCTACCCCAAATAAGACCCCATTACAATAGGGACTGGATGAACTTGTAGCTTGATGAACCTCAACCACAAGGAAGTTCTTAGTTCTTAGTTTTTCCATAGACCTTTACAAATTTCATTACCCTTACTAGTTTAAAGAATTTGCACCAGAAGTTTTCGTGCTCTGGGGACATCATCCTTCCATTTGGATACTATTCTGTAACACTTTGAACAGGTTGGTTTTTAAGGCAAGTGGTGTAATTTTCAATGTTTTCTTTTTCTCATTATTCAAATATTTTTCTCTCTAGTTACCATTGCCCTCATCAATCTAAGTTTCCTACCCAGCTTCTCTGTTTGGTACTTTTTAGCCAAGACAGGAGGGAAAAATAATTTTTTGTCTATGATGACAGTAACAGACAAGTAGCATTTCAACCATAATGAATTCCATAATAATATATCCCTATCCAAATAGCCCTAAATATTGCTTAAGGTTTGATTTAAACAGATTCAAGCCTATTTCTCTTTCTTTAGCAAAGTCTCTCTAAAAACCAGCAATCCATGTCCTGGTAATCTTTTGTTTGAAAGAATGTATGTCTTTATGCAAATATGTTTCAAAAACTGCTTGACCAAAGTGGCTTTAGAATTCATTTCACACATTCTGAAGCTATAACATTCTGACATATTAGTTCACTTGGGTTCTGAATGGTTCACGACTCTTCATTTTCCAGCAACTCGATGTTTATGGCATGTGCTCAATTGTTTTAAGGCATGACTAAAAAGTGTAAAACTGGTCTATGAAATCGCTAGTTCAGAAAAAATTCTCTGCTCTGTTGAATTCAATAAGCAGTGTGTCTATTTACTTTCTCTGTCTATTACTTTTTTTTAAAAAAACCTTTTGAGTGTTTCAGAATTGTAGGGTTGGAAGAAGTACTTAGAAATACCAATTTTCTGTATGCAAACTTCATGGTGCAGAAAACATTTTTTTTTTTTTTAATGTGGAAATGTAGGTCTCTACAGTAATTACAGCTTTGCAAAGCAATCCACAGAATTTTACCTACCTCCTCAAAACTACGGAGAGAGAGGAAAGATGAGGAAAAATAGCCTATCTCTATTCATCATCCTGCAGTAGGGAAAATAAAAACTGGACAGAGCACTGTAATTTGGAGTTTGGAGACAAAAAGACATAAAATTCTGCTTCCCTAGAATAGTACATACAAAAATCCCTTTTCTTCAAAGGCTTTTTCAATCTGTACATCATGAAGCCACATTGAAATAAATCTTTGAAACAAATTTCTCCTTTGGACACTAACAGCTTTTTCAAATAATCTGTTTTCCTTAATGATGAGAGAGGTACAAACTTTAAGAAAACCAGCAGATGTTTAATGGCCATTTTAAACTAATTGTATTGACTGTATCCTGTTGAACTGAAGAATTGTATCCATTAGAATTCTCTTGTATAACATTCTGCCTTTGCTGACATCCTCTGTAGTAGCAGTGGAATTTCCCTGATCATTTTCCCTGATCACTTAATAAAGTGAGATATGTCAGATTCCCTTTTTGACTTCAGCTCTCCCCAGTCATGAGGGAGACATAATAATTAAAAGAAAAAAAACAAAGAATTGTATGAGTTGTAGGTTTTTTATAAAAAAGCTGCTTTTCAGTTGTATTAAAAGTGTCAACATTGACTAAATGGAGAAATAGATTTTCTCTTTGTGATAGGTTTAAAAAAATTGAATGCAAATACATTTTCAGTTTCAGTACAGGTAGAAAGTATGATGCCTAGTTTTACACAGCTCTGCTAAGCAGGTACATATGCATCACTTGAAATGGTGTCTAATATTCCACAGATGGCAATTACTTGCAGAGCAATGGCTAGGGACTTAATTAAAAAGGCTGAGAGTTAGCAAAGTAAAATGCTGCAGAAGCACATGAAAAATCTTTACATTATGCAAGACATAGAATATTTAGGAAGTTAAAAGTGTCTTTTTACATTTTCCCTTCATTTCTGCACAAAAGGCTTACTGTAAAATAAAGGTTAGTTATGCCATGTTTAAAATTATATTTTAGCTAACTGAACCTACTACACAACAAAGCAAAATATATTTGACTACACAATATTGATTTTACATGAAAGCACATCAGTTAGTAAAATGCAAAAACCAATAAAACATCACCCCTGGCTGGAATAGATATCTCTAGATACAATTTATTTTTACATTTAAACCAATTATTGGGCTTGTTGCATTTAAAAATGTGCACCATATATCCTTTCAAGGACTTTTTTATTCAATCAAATCAATTGCATTGATCTCCATATTCCATATTAAACACCAATCTTAAATTAAAGCTGACACATTTTGAAGGCCAAAGTACAAGTTTCTAAGCAGAAATAAATTCTACAAAGCTTTCTTTGTGTGTTTTTTATGCCCAAACATGAATACAGATATTGATTATGTTTTAACACACAATTTATGAGCTATTTCGATGCTTATTTCTTCCTAAAATATGTTCAATAATACAAACTCACAGAAACAGAATGCTCCCTGAAGTTCTTTCTGTTGCATTGGAATATGTGATGATTTTCATAAATAATTAAATGACAGAATGGAAATAAAACCTTAGGCAGAATTGTTCATGAAGAATCTATGACTAACAGGACATACAACTAACCTACCACTTGTTGAAATGATCACTTGTTGAAATGATATAGGGACAAGATTTGTTTCTTTTGAGCATGTTGTCAGAGCAATTCACGTCAACCTTGAGCCTGACCAA